TTGGTATTTTTTAGTGTTTTAGTGTTTTCCACCAGGAGAGCCTTCCCTAGCGGTAGCCAACATTACACAGCAACCATTTTCAAGCATGTACGCTTACACAAAACCTGAAACACACTGTTTTCGATGGGGCAGATGTGTCTGTGGAGTTGTGCCGGGTATGAGTGCAATATTATCCAGGCAATCGCTTTTGCTGTGGAAAATCACTGATGTTGGCCATAGCAAAGAGACGGTGCTCCCTTGACATTTCGCCAAAAAAGCCGAACAACGCAAACACGTCTTGGTACTTGTCGAAATACCATTGGCAGCTTTCTGAACCGGCTATTAGATTCAAACGGAGACGGCTGAACCTTGTTGCTATCAGAGGGTCCCTTTTTGACGGGAGAAGGCCATATCAGGCAGCAGCCACACAAGTCTGTTTGTTGTGACCAATGTGTTTGCACTTCAGAGGTTTCTGTGCGGTTTCACATCGACCTTGCATCTGAGTGACTGAGAATGGTTTGGGGAGAAGGCGAGGGGCCCAGACCCCAAACATGTCTTGGGGAAGATGATCACTTCTGTCAGGAAAGGGCAAGGGCTGGCAGCCCAAGGGAACCTGGGAGAAGAAGGGCGCTGCAGGCGCCTTTCCGCCCAGCGACACTGGTGACCTATAGGATTGTCGCTTAAGCGGGGCTGGCGGGCCTTTGAGTCTTCTTTTAATTGACGGAAGAAAGGGTAGCCTCCAAATTCAACACTGTTACTCTTGCCAGGAGCAATTTTTCATAGTACTCAGCAAGTGCACTGTATCACAGTCCTGGTGTTGTGCCAACGGGCCTTTCAAGTCCCAACTTAGAGGCTAGCTTGACCTCATTGGCTACCATTCAGGTTGCGCAAAATGGCCTTCCCATTTGTGGACTCTCAGAATTGCCCCAGCGCGCCCCAAAACGACGGCAGTTGTCAAATTTCGCGCGCCAGGTGAGAGCGAGGCGCCAGAAGCCAAAGGCTGCCTTCGTTGCTCAAAGCCACGGCATGAGTTCTGACGACAGTTCAGCTTCAGCAAGCTCATGAAGAAATTAGTTGAATGCTTTGAGTGTGAGATTGACCCTACACCATGCATTGAATCTTTGAAGCCTGATGGTTGGCTTTGCTTGACAATTCATTGGAGACATTTGCCGCCTGATGCCGCCTGAATTTACTCAAGAGCCCCGGTCTTGTGGCTGACAGGTTGGGTCTTATGCTGCCCACAAGGGTCAGAACCTTTGTGTGTCTCCGCCAGGCAAGGGAAAGGCTGAGGCAAAGGGCCACAATGATGGAAAGGGCCACGGCAAGAACTACGGCAATGGAGGTAAAGGCAAAGATGGGAAGGGATACAAAGGCGGCAAAGGCTATGACGCCAAAGGCTACAAGGGCAAAGATGGAAAGGGCAAAGGCTGGGAAATGAAAGGCCGGCACTGGAGTTCAGAGAGTTTGCAGTCGATATACGTCACACGTAGTCCAGGAGTCCATGTTTTACGTTATTTAGAGCTCTCACAAAATGCCTGGCTCAGGCAACAAGTTCACAAGGTGGGCATTTGGTTTTACGTTCTCCGAGAAAATGTCGTACAATGCAGTGGGCCATGCTGCGAGTGTCGATTTGAGAAGACTTTTTGTGTGAAGTTGGCATTGTGTACAGTTTGTGTATGTAGTTAACATGAAGTCCAAGCCATGTTGGAATTCTCGGACATGATGCATTAATTGCAAGTTAGCTGACAGTTGTGCCGGTTGAACGTTTACTGTACATTTGTTTTGCACAGTTGCCAGGCAAAGGGAAAGGCAAAAGCAAAGATGGGAAAGGATGGGAGCAAGATTGGCACGGCAAAGGCGAGCGCCCGCTGTTCGGCAGCAAGGTTGCGCGCAATGTGGTGTGAATTGCCTGCCTGCCTGCCTGCCTGCTTGCTGGTTTGTTTTGTTTGTGTGCTTGTGTCGTTTGGGTTTGTTTGGTTCGGTTTGTGTTGTTTGTTTGTTTTGTATGGTTTGGTGTTGTTGGTTTGTTTGTTTCTCTGTTTGCTTCTTTCTTTCTTTCTTTCTTTCTTTCTTTCTTTCTTTCTTTCTTTCTTTCTTTATTTCTTTCTTTCTTTATTTCTTTCTTTCGTTATTTCGTTTCTTTGTTTGTCTGTTTGTTTGTTTGTTTGTTTGTGTGTGTGGTTGGTTGTTTGTTTGTTTGTGTGTTTGTGTGGTTGTTTGTTTGTTTGTTTGTTTGATTGATTGATTGATTGATTGATTGATTGATTGATCCATTGATTGTTTGTTTGTTTGTTTGTTTTTGTGTGTGTGTGTGTTTGTTTGTTTGTTTGTTTGTTTTGGCTTGATTGAAATTTGTGTGGTCTGGTTTTGTTTGGTTTGGTGTTGTTTGTTTGTTTCTTTATTTGCTGGTTTCTTTCTTTCTTTCTTTCTTTCTCTCTTTCTTTTTTTCTTTCTTTCTTTGATTGGTTGTTTGTTTGTTAGTTTGTTTGTTTGTGTGTGTGGTTGGTTGTTTGTTTGTTTGTGTGTTTGTGTGGTTGTTTGATTGATTGATTGACCCATTTATTGTTTGTTTGTTTGTTTGTTTGTTTGTTTTTGTGTGTGTTTGTTTGTTTGTGTTTTTTTTGGCTGCGTTAATATTTGTTTTTTGGTTTGGCTTGGTTTGGTTTTGTTTGTTTGTTTGTTTTTTGCTTTATTGCTTGCTTGTTTCTGTTAGTTGTATTTATGTTTGTGTTGGTTATTTTACATGTGTTGTGGTTTGCGTTTGAAAGGGTTTGTGTGTGGTGGTTGTTGTGTTCGTCCAATCGCGCCAGTTTGTGACAGGGTCCCATGGTTTCGTCCCTGAAAATAATCACTTACTGGGTGTGCACCTTTGCGTACATCAACCATTCCTTGTTTGAATCAATTTAAGGTACCAAGAAGTGGAACCATGGCTTGGAGTGGTACTACCCGCATTTGCAAAGACATGCCAGGGAAAGGCAAAGCAAAGGGCCGAGATGGCAAGGGATGGGAGTCCGAGTGGTATGCCCAAGGCCAGCGGTTGTTTCGCGAGTGAGGCCTTCCACTATGATCCCTAGACGAATAGGTTGTTTTTGTTCTTGACATAGCTGTGATTGGATGAGCGTCCTGCAAAGCTATGATCAAATCCCTGCCACACTCAGGGCCTTCATCATCAGACTTTGTACGTGGAATATCAGGAGTGTGCCCATTTGATTGTTGATATGTTTCGGGATTGCGTAGATGCATATCAAAGGCAATGGCAATATGCGCTGTGTTGTTTTTCACATCGCCGAAAATCACAGCACAAGTGGGTACCCAGTGATAGCAATGACGAACTTCAGGTTGGCTGCGTACCTAAAGGCAATAGCTGGCAAGCCCAACAAACCACAAGCCACTCACACACGCAGTCAGCGCTCCAACCAACATTTGGGAACACTCCAAAAACGACACACTTTTTTTTTTTGTGGGATTTATTTGGTGTTTTCGGATCTTTGGTCTGACATCCACGAAACAGAGGGTGGGGTGTCTGATTTCGTGTGAGACTGTCCATGCTGTTTTGAGATGGTTCTTCATGTGTGTTGTTTGAAGTTCTTCGCCATGTGTAGCTTGCTTTTTCATGCAACTGTGTCTAAATTTGATATGTTGGATGTTTGTAACCTCACATTTGATTGGCTTCATGTATCCTAGTGAACCCTCATGTGTTTGCAACACTAAATGCATCATCATGGTCTTTTCGAAACGATGTTGTGTTGGGTGGGTTTGGCGCTCTTAGACTAGTTTTGTTGACATCGAATGTTCCAATTAGATCATAGATGACAATGGATCGATCCAGTGCCTTTTTAGGTAAGTCTTTAGCCTCGTCATCATGTTTAATGTATAAAGCTATTGTTCTGTTTGTGAGTCACAACTCATTTTTTGTTTGGTAGCTTGTTGCTCCAATATTGTTTTCCGAGCTGTCACTACATCAGTGCAGGAGAGTTAAACATATGAATCTCGCAGAGTCCTGTCACAAACCCCAACATGCATTTGATTGAATCGCCTATGGGTTGGATGTGGAACCGATTAATCCCCTTGCAGTGTGAGGAGGCGTCTCCCAGTCTCCCATGCCTTCTGGCCAGGCCTGGTGTTGCAGTGAATGGCAGGCCAAAGTGGCCGTTGCATAGCGTGTTAAGAGCCACCGCAATCACTTAGTTTCAGTGGTAATGAGCATGTGAGTTTGTTTCCTTTGGGAGCGTGATTGCAGCCCTGGGAATCGGGCATGGTAGCAGCTTAATTGGAGGCTACCTGTGCCCTGGACAAAATGTCCCCGCCTCGACAGTCCCAGAGAGGAGCCCTCAGAACGGCACGCCTCAGTGCCAGCCGTCGTGAGGTGAGGCCTTGCTTTAGAGAGACGCGTGCAGAAGGCCTAGCACACAGCTGCCGATGTATTTGGGCTGCAAAGACGCAGCCCTAGGCTTCTTAGCCATTGCAGTTCTTTCCTTCATTGTGACCTGCTACATTTCTCCGATATATTCGAGGCTGCTGTAACCAACGTCCAAATCGGTCATGAATGCGACGATTGTCAAAGCAACTCATGGTCAACGACTATTTTGTCAGAGAACTCGCCTATGTCGTGGCTACTAGCGCTTTGCACAGCCACACATCAGCCACACAACTTCCAGCTATCATTTGCGCATCTCTAAAACTGTTTTCAATCAGATTGACCAGCAAAGGCTTGCTTCTCACAATTTCTCACGTGTACACCAGACACGCTGCAGCTGTGTGCGCGTGAGGGCGCCTTCAGCAGCGTCGACGCACAGCAGCCATCTCAGTTTCAATCGTGAAAAGATGGCGGACGGAATTGATCGCCGGTTGGCCGTTCGGCTGGGAGAGGTTAAAGGTCTGGCCGTGGCGTTCACTCCCCCAGTCTCCCTTGGTGAGTGGACGAACCAGTTCCCGCGGTCCCAAGGGTCCTTAAGTTTGAGGGAAACTAAATACAGAGATGAGCAAAGTGAGCGCAGGGCGAAATGCCGCTCTCACGCGAGGCCTCTTGGCCGCGATTCCTACCCTTCTGCCTGGGATCTGGAGAGTTTGCACGAGTTACAGCGCCTCGGCATAGCAATTTGCGCCAAATCAACAAGGTGGGATTGGCGACCGATTCGGAATTCGCGCGCTAAAAGCCCTGCTTTGGGCTTGAGTGCCTCGAGTCGCTGGTTCAGAAGTTCTGGGACACCACTTTCTGGAGGTGACTCAGTGTAGACTTTGTGCATTGGACATACTGTTTTACATAGCAGCAGTCATCAACCACGCAAATATGAAGAAACATGGCACGCCGCTTCGAAGATGGAAGCTGCAAAACCCTGTGGCACAACTTGGACAGTGCTGAGTCGAATACTTCAATAAGAGCTTCCTTAGGTTCGCCGATTGTTTGGTTGATCAGGTTTATGCAGCCACTTACAGGGAATTGTGTGTGTGTGTTCTATTTTTAGGGCACCCGTTATTGAAATAAGCTCAGGTGATATCCACAACAGCACCACACCCTCGCGGAACCCGAAACCTCAGAGGTTTGGGCTGAGATTCCATCGCTTTCAGCTGGAAAACCTGAAAACCATGGTGTGTGTGTGTGTTCTGTCAAACTTGGTTTTCCGGCTGAAGCAGATGAATCGTTTCATGTTTTACCCACCCTCAAGCGCGCTCCCTAGCAAATATGTCGGTCCGCGGTAGCAATGTTCATCGAAGGTGGACCAGCATGCCAGTGACAGCACGCAGTACTTCAAATTGATTATATGAATGTCCCAGGAATTGGAAGCCTAAAAGTGATAGACTGCTTTGAGCTCCTTTATAAACTCCATCCAACTAATTGACTCGTATTTGTTTTAGCACTCTCGCCCCTCGCAATTTGCCGCCTTCAGGTGCGGGTGAGCGAGGCTGGGATCTGTTTCATGCGGCTGTGGGTAACAGCGCGCCCGCTGCTTGGACAGCGTTGTTTGTTTGAATCTGCGATGGACCAAACAGATAGATGCCTTGTGAGTGAAGGGCCAAGTGGATAGCCGGCCCTTCATTTGATAAGCCAGCACCCGGGCTCCCGAAGACGCAACCAACTTGCTCATGGAATTTCACGATGCCCTCGGGTCAGTCACACATATTTGGAGGTCAGGACAACCCAAATTGAACATGAGAGCCATTTATTGTGCGCTGAGGTCATGTATTGCGTCGTGTCCTCTGCATTGCTGTGCCTGATTCACTGCATCCTTGCTGGCGCATTTGCAGTTCCTGGACTGCCATAGCTTTTGAGAGCCACCAGTGCTTTTTCGAGGGCGACCAAACCTTGCTATGGGTATGACATGACTTGTTGGGGCAAGCACTTGCTGGCCAAGCTTGCATGCTTTGCGCCGCTTTCTTCAGTGCACAGTGACGAATTATGCAAGAACGTGATTCGTGCGAAATGTATTCTTGCTGAATTGTATGGTTTTAATGGGCGTTTTCGGCTGGCACAAATGCTGTGGCCAAAGCGCTGATTCTGTTTGGGATTTGAATGGTTCTTGACCATAGTGCATGGCCATGAACCACAAGGAAGCCACACATACCCCTCTACCTTCCTTCCATGGGAATATGTTAACGCATGCGCGCGCACCTGCTCACCCACATGCAGACAGACACGGTGCTGTGTACTCAGGCAATTGGCCCCATCCACTACCAGCGCCAGCAGATAGTCATCGACTCTGTGAGGCTTTTAACGCGGCAAACTGCCTGCCTCTATCCCAATCTGCCGCAGGCCAGTGGTGAGCAATTGGTCATGACAGGAATGGCTGCTGCGCCAGTTGTTCATTTTCCTTGCCTCCAGTTAAGAGTTTGGATTGTAGGCAACCTCGGGAAACTCGTAATCTGAATCAAGTTAGCAATCTGGAATTGCAAAGTGCAGTAGCCCCGAACTGGATTTGCAATCTTGATCGGTCAAATACAGGGAACAACAAAAGAAATGAGTAAAAAAACACCGAAATGCAAAAAGTAGTACAACAACAGCCATTTTGTTTACATAGTAAACATTAGTAGCAATTAGCAAAACATGTAAAACAGGTATTGTTACGCATGCTTTACACATTATTTGTGTTTTTCTATGTGTTACAACGTGTTTTTCTAGTTTTGTCTACGTACTCCTTACTAATCCAGATTGCTATCCCATTTCCACAATGTGTGTAACATAGAAACAATTTGTGAAACGTAGTAAGAAGGAACAAAAGGCCAAACAACAAGAAACTAAGAAAGAGAAGACATAGTAACACATAGTAAGCAATATTAATTGCTAACGTGTACTATCCATTATTGTATATGCTTCGCTTTGCCCGCCTCGGCCAGTCCGCTTTTGGCTGGCTTTATGTTTATTACGTTTGCAAGGTAGAGGGTGGGTGCATGTCGGCCCGATTCCGCCTGGCTTCAAGGGCCAGAATGAGAGGAGTTCTGAGGCATTTTCAGGGGGATACCAAGCGAAGAGCAAGCGAATCCTTGCGGCGGGTGGCCTTCTCCGGAAAACGCCCAAGACCGCAT